TCTCTCGCTCTCTTCCTCCCTCTCTCCCTTCTGCTCTATCTGAAGATAAATGCAAAAATGTCCTTGGGTGAGGATTTAAAAAAAAAAAAATGAGGATAATGTAAGGAGCCTCTGGGACAACTTCAAGTGAGCCAACATTCACATCATAGGAGTTCTGGAAGGCAAAGAGAGAGAGCAAGACATCGAAAACTTATTTGAAAAAATAATAACAGAAAAGTTTCCTTACCTAGGGAAGGAAATAGCAACAGTAGTCCAGGGAGTGCAGAGGATCCCAAATGAGATGAACCCAAAGAATGTCCACACCAAGACACATTATAATTAAAATGCAAAAGGTTAAAGAAAAAGAGAGAATCTTAAAAACAATGAGAAAAGCAGATAGTTCCCTAAAAGGGAGTTCCCATAAGACTGTCAGCTGATTTCTCAACAGAAACTTTGCAGGCCAGAAGGAAGCAGCAAGAAATATTCAAAGTGATGAAAAGCAAGGGACTTGCAACCAAGATTACTATACCCAGCAAAGCAATCATTTAGAATATAAGGACACATGAAGAGCTCCCTAGACAAAAAAAGCTAAAGGAGTTCATCACCACCAAACCGGTATTGCATGAAATATTAAAGGGTCTTCTTTAAGAAGGAAAAAAAGAGATAAAAAATATGAAAAATAAAATGGCAATAAATACATATTTATCAACAACTGAACTGAAAAAACAAAATAAATGAACAAGCAGAATAGAAACAGACTCATAGATACGGAGAATATTTTGACAATTACCAGATGGGAGGGGGATTAGAGGGATAGGGGAAAGGTGAAGGGATTAAGAAGTACAATTTGGCCCTGGTTGGTGTGGTTCCGTTGGTTGAATCATCGTCCCATATACCAAGAGGTGGCAGGTTTGATTTCTGGTTAAGGTACCTAGATTACGGGTTCAATCCCTGGTCCAGACATGTACAAGAGGCAACCGATCAATGCTGATTAATATTTCTCTCTTACATCTATGTTTCTCTCTCTCTTTCCCTTCTCTTTCTCTCTCGTTAAAAATCAATAAAGATATTCTTGGGTGAGGATTAAAAAAAAAAGTACAAATGGGTAGTTACAGAATAGTCATGGAGATGTAAAGTACAGCACAGGGAATATAGTCAGTAATATTCTAAAAACTATGTATAGTGTCACATGGGTACAAAATTTATTGGGATGATCACTTAATAAAATATGTAATGTCTAATCTGAAACTAATGTAATATTGTATGTTAACTGTAATTAAAAATTTTTTAAATGATTTTTTAAAATGAAGTATAGCAATAAAGCAGAAGAGGGAGTGAACACTTCTGTAGCTGGACTAGGGAATTTAGAATAAGAGAAGAATATGAAAAATAGCTCCCCACAAGAACAAATGTCTGATCTGAATGTTTATATCAGAAAATGGGAGGACTTTCTATGTATGTCATGCTAAGTAAGGAACTTCTATTTTATCAATAGCAGGTTTCCCAGTCATCTCCATGAAGGATTTAGACAAGGTGACCTCATAAGAAGATAGGAATTTTAGAAGGATCACACTGAGGACAGTCAGAGAGTGGCCAGGGAGGAGAAAGAGATACTAATTAGGAGTCAGATCTATGGTGATCCGGAATTATATAGATTCAATGAGGGGTGGAAGGAGGAGAGGCATGAAGAGATGTTGAGAAGAATCAGTGGAACCACAGTCAGAAAATACTTTCTGAGCATACTAACAAGGAAATTGTCTCTCATGGCAAAAACTGAGCCTGGCCCATGCTGTGGGATGCTTTGAGGGCAGGCCAACAGTGAAAAGGTAAGTATTTATAATATAAAAAACCACCATCAATTTAATATATGTATAATACAATAAATACGTTAAATTAATAAATTTACTTAATTTTTATTTTAGGAATAAAATGGACTACAGGATATTTTAAAATACTGGTGTCAAATTTCAGGGCCCTCCTCCAACATATAAAGAGCTTAGAAGTTATGTCTACTGTGCTCATAATAAGAAAAAAACTGAACAAATTAAAAATCAAGAACTCTTCTTGGATTCTTCAAAGAATTGTGGTAACAGGGCAAACTGCTGCCCCTAGAACTAGAGACAGGCAGGCAGATACAGAGAATCACAGTTTATCAGCAGCAGGAGCCTGTACTGGTAGGAATACTTTACATCATAATTGATGGATTGCTCAAGGCTCAGTGTAGACTAGCTTGAGAGTTAAAAATTCCAAGTGGGGCCCTGGCTGGTTTGGCTCAGCTGTTAGAGCGTCGGCCTGTGGACCACTGAGTCACGGGTTCAATTCCCAGACAAAGGCACCTACCTCGGTTGTGGTCCCTCCCTGGGAGGCAACCAATCGATGTGGCTCTATCACCTGGATGTTTCTCTCTGTTTCTCTTTCCCTCCGTCCCTCTTTCCCACTCTATCTGATGATAAAATAAATAAATAAAATTTTAAAAAACTCCAAGTCGGGGAGGGCCTGTCTTGGGGGTAGGCGGGCACGTTCTTGAGTTTTAATTCCCAGAAGCTCCACCAGGTTCTCACTGTAAGATCGGAGAGGAATCCCTTCTGGCCTCTGGCAGGGGGATGCGTAAAGTAACCATTTTGAAATACACCCACAGTTCTCTGTTCTTTCTAACAAGGCCTGTCCTTAAGGGAAACTATTTTACCAGATCCTAACAGACTATGATTTTAACCAAAGCCTAAACAACCTGGGGAAAGGAAAATACCTAACTCAGGCTCACTGAGATCTAATCACAGGATTATAAAACACTTCCCCTCTTCCCACAGCTACGCCACATCCATCGTGTTCCTGTATAGCAACCGGGATTACAGCTCCAAGTATTCCAAGCCTCAGAGCCTAGGAAGGAGTCTTTAGGAAAACCCAAAACAACAGAGGAGACAAAAACAATACCACAGCTACTGCGAACAGTAAATACAGCTTAACTCCCAGCCAGGTAAACATAAAGCCTCACCACAAAGGCCAATATGCCTCCATTCCTTCTACCTGATACACATTTCTACAAATTTGTACAAGGCATGCTAAAAGTTGAAAATAAATAAAAATAAGCAAACAACAACAAAATACACAGTCTGAGAATTTTCCACAATTAATGACCCCAAATCACTGACACAAGCAGGATATATACTAAAAAATCTATACCTAGAAATAACATATTTGAATTGCAGATAACCCAAAACTAAGAAAATCTTGAAAGAAACCAGGAGACAAGAATTACATTAGACTTTTCTTCAGAAACTATGCAAGCAGAAGAGGGGAGTAAAGTATTTGAAGTGTTGAAAGAAAAATAAACCCCACTAATGTAGAATTCTGTATCCAGGAAAATTATCCTGCAAAGTGAAGGAGAACAATAGACTATGGAGGCAAACAAAAACTGGGGAGATTTGTCATGCCTATCACCTTGGATCTGAGTCCTAATTAGACATGCCTTGCAAGAAATGTTAAAAGAAGTTCTTTAGAGAGAAGGAAAATAACATGGGTAAAAAACTCAGATCTACATGAAGAAGGGAAGAGCATTGAAGAAGGGATAAATGATGGTAAAATAATGTTTTCTTCTTAACTGACCTAACAGAAATAGTGTGTTCAAAATAATAATAGCAATAATGCACTCAGTGATTATAGCTCACGGATAAGTGAAATGAATCAGCGATGTGATAAGGGACAGGAGGGGGACTTAGATATACCTTGTTATAAGGTACTTGCATGACCCATGAAGCAGTAGAGTATCATTTGAAAGTGGACTTTTATTAGTTGTAAATGTAAATTGCAAACTCTAGGGCAACCAATGAGAAAATTTTAAAAAGAAGTATAATTGATATGTTGAGAGAGAAAAGAAAATGGAATCACATAAAATGTTCAATTAAAACAAAACAACAACAACAAAAAAGGCAGGAAAAAAGTGGGATACCAAAAAAAAAGAGAGAGAAAGAAACAAAAAAATAAAGAAAGGCAACAAATGGAAAACAGACAAGAATTTCGTGGCCGCTATGGGTTGTGGGGCAATGTGGGAGCACAGGAAACTGCAGGGCTCAATGCTTTTTAAAAACCACTGCTTTAGAGAAGAAGGTCTCTGAAGTGTGCCTACTGATGATGCTTTCCCTCATTAAAATATCCAACTCTTAAGAGAATTAGAAACAGCAGTTTCTACTTTGAAGATACTTTCTGAGACTGTATTACAGGGAAAGTCTGTCGCTTCCAACCCTGTAACCCAGGCCACAGCCCTTGGAGCTGCTGAGTCCTGAAGCCTAGAGGCGGTGGAGTTTCATCCTCCAGGTCATTTCTTACACATTCTCCTTTCCCTCCAGGAAAGATAAGGGTGTATGACTGGGTCCTCTCTGCTACAAGTGTAACTCTGGTTAATAAGAGGGCTTTTACTTTTTAAGGCTCTTCTCTTGCTACTCTGTCTATCACAGAGTAGCCTGTGGACTCCCTGAATCAGCATCATCTAGGATGTCTGTTAAAGAGGGAAATTCCTGGGTCCTGCCAAAGACAACGAATCAGACTCTCGGGGAGTGAGCCCAGGAATCGGCATCGCTGGCAAATGTCACGGTGAGTCTTCTGCACACTACGGTTTGAGAACCACTGTTTTAATATATTGTTGGGTTTTAGGAATAGGATGGGGAAGGTTCTTCCCTTTATGTTTTAGGCCAAATTATTGCTAGGAATATTAGCAATATTCCTGGTAAATATATCTGCTAACCAAATACAGTCATACTCAAGGAATAGTTGTTGAAAATTACTTGAGGATTATGATACTTCCTTGAGCTCTGTGAAAAGCGAGACATTAGATTTTTCTAACCTAGACAGTACTTTAATTCTAAATAAGTTTTTAAATATTTTATAGTCTGTATGTCATGTGTGCAGAATAGCTGTCATTTTTAAATGGTGGGAGTAAAACAAGCCAAACTTTATTTAGATGGAAGGCTTGCTCTAATGAAGACCATCAATAGATCACTTGAGCTTCCATGTCAATTAAATTTGGTTTAAAGAATTCCTGCAAAAGACAAATACATGGTTGAAAACATAAGTAGCTATAGAAAATATAAATCCAAAACAAACCAAGAAACCTCACATATAGCTGTAATAAATAAGGATAAAAAGTAACAGATGTGTCAGCACACTCTCCACAGGAGGTCAGGCTAGGGGCTGGGGGAACTGAGAGGTGCAGTGGCCGGGATAAACTGAAGAGAAGAAAGATGAGCAGGCACAGAACATAAAGATCTGCTCATCACACCCTCCCAAGAATCTGAAAACTAAGGATTTTGTGAAATACAAGTAAGCTGCAAGACAGAAAATAAGAGAAAGGGGACTTAACTGGGTTCTTCAATTATTGAGTCAAATGGGTTACACATATACTATGTTGTACTACTATACTACTCTACAGGGGCATTGTTAAACTCAAACATTAGTATCTAATCTAAAACCTTTTCAATTGTGCTATATCGAAGGGAGGCAAAGTGCTCCTACCCATAAATTTGTTAGAGGGGTGTGCATGTGTTTAGTTGGTGTGTGTACATGTTTGATGTGTATGTATTTTTGTGTGTACATGTGTACAGCTGTGAAAGTACATGAGCATGTGTGTTAGAGGGGCACAGACGTCTGGTTAACTTCTAGTCTTTGACTTACCTTGCACCTGTCAGCACCCCGGTATGCACTCATGTGAGTGTTGTCACTCTGGAAACGGGATGAAGGGTTAGATATATGTCTTTCCTCCCTAGCAGAGTAAAACAGAAAGAAAGAAAGAGACAGAGAAACAGGACACACACACACACACACACACACACACACACACACACACATTCTGCTAACTTGGAGGGTTAGATCAGTTGGGAGGGGGTCAGTCCTCATCCCTCCCTGCCCTCTATATTCTGGATAGCCAGGGCAAAGGCAGAACAAGAAGGAAGAAAGACATAGACTATCATTGGAAACTCACTCTGGATGTTGTGGGAAGATGTGGTCTTTTTCAAAGACGTAACTGAAGCGGTAGGCCTGTTAATATTTGTGAAAGATGATGTGCCTGCACAAAAATAAGAGAAATAATGAAAAAGTGAAGCAATCATCAGCAAAGTCCTCTAAAATTAATCTGGGATGGAAGATAACTAACAACCTATAAGCAAAAATTACCTGCAAACAATTTCTTTTCCAATTCTTCTTGAACTTTAAGAAGAATCCTTTCCTGTTCTAAGGCTTCTATGTACTTTGAATAGCACCAGGTTGGCTAAAAAAAATAATAATTTTCAAAGTGAATTTTGGAATATTTGCCCCAGAAAAGAAACTGAAGGTAAGATAATAACTTATATCAGCCCCTTCATTTGAACAGTGTATTGCAGGATAATATATACTATAAAATGTACACATATCATAAATTTACAATTATATAAAAACAAGTAGAACTTAATCATTTAACCTTTTTAACTGGTCATCAAAAATTGTTATCAGTCTACCTTAAACCATTTTAATAAGAACATTTATGATAAACTAAAGGTACCTTTTTCTATAGCCTTGACTAAAATTTTAAATTCCCTTGTCCCAGGTTAGGAGGAGGGTAGGGATGTGAGGAGGAGGATTTACTACTTCTCAGTGAAACAATTTCTTAAAAGCTTTATAGATTTCTTGAGAGCTATTCAGTCACCTTAATATACTCAATTTGATTGTGAATTTAGGTGCTTAGGAAATACCCAAGTTTTCTGTGGGGGCTAGTTTTGCTTTTGGATTAATCACAATTCTTCAATTTGTAAATCTATCTGAAACAAATGCATGTACAGAGCACTCCACACTTACTAAATGGCAGTGTATTGTTATTTTAACAATTCCTAGAGTAATTTAACATTCATACATTAAAGAGCCATAATAAAAACAATAATTATTTATATTTATAAAAATGCCTTTGGTTTCCAAAAGCATTTAGCTTCTTTATCTTGAGATATATGACAATATCATCATCCTCATCCTCATCCTCATCCTCATCCTCATCCTCATCCTCATCCTCATCATCCCTTTCTCTTTTTAACAGCTAGGAAAACAGCCTCAAGAGAAATTAAGTCATTTCTTTCAGGCTTCAGGGTAATACTGACTTGTGTCAAAGTAAAACTTAGGAGACTGGTATCCCTAATTTCACATTTCTCCCTTTATTTGTATACTATGTTTCTGAAATTTAATGCTAGTCATTTGCTAATAAAAGTACTTCCAAATGTCATTATTAGGTATCATGCACTTTTAGATACCTCTTTTTCAAAGTATGTTTACAAAAAATGTGGACATTTCTCTTCTCTAATAAAAGCTTCATAGCCTAGCAGTAATCTTAGCTGGGTAGCTGAACTTACTTGATATTTTTAAATACCAAAAAGATAGATTCCTCAGCTACTATATTAAAGATGCAATCAATTTCAATAAAAGTCATTAAAAATGGACATATTAAACTTATGAAATTTCAGGGAAGTGATGTTAATGTACAAGTTATAAATGTAAATATACATTAGTTAATAGTCATGTACTGGCCAATTTTATGACCACTTCAAAGAATTTAAAAATTGAGACAAAGCATTTGCCACTCTTTTGTCTTCTCTTAACCCAAGAATAGATCAACCTATATGTATTCTATTTTGCTCTACATATGTCTTATTATCTTTTTCGATAAGATAGCCTCTTAGATCTTAATACATATCAAGAAATTATTTTTCTCGATTATAATGTCCAGGATTAGCTGAAATTTTAATGTTCTCTGAAGGCTCAAGGAAAATTCTCTTCCCATCTCTTCTAGTATTACAATTTTAGCCTCATTTTCAAACAAACACACTTTACTACTGTAAAATGACTGAGCTACTGCATTCCACTAGCCAGTGCTCCACAGAAGTAATATCTGGTACCTTTCTTGCTTACCTGTCGGCTATATGCTGGTAGGCTTAAAGCTGGGTCACTGACTACACCAGCTGTTCTGACAGTAGATCCTGAAATAGTTGCATAATGTTTGATTCCATCCTGTAATTATATTAAATTGTTTCAAAAAAGAGGTAATGCTATATTAATATAAGGTTACAGTTCAGGAGTCAGAATAGCATATAAAAAATTATTTTGTGAACACCAGACCTGAGGTTTCAAGTCATTATCACTGATGTGACATAATCTACTGTTTTGATCTTTAATTTTATTTCATATTAATATAAAAATATTAAAAATAAATGAGAAATCATGAAGTAGAATGTAAAAATCACCCCAAATTTTAGCATCCAAGAAAAACCCTATAAGCATTTTCATTAATATCCGTCCAAATTTCTCACTAGAAAAATGCATTGATTTAATCTATAATTTTAATATTTATATTTTATTACATAATTGTCATTCCATATAAATGGAATCACACTATGTATGCTCTTTTTAAATGTTTCATTTAAAATGTGAAGATTTTCCTATGTAGATAAATATAGAACAGGGATTTTACTAAAGAGCAGGGTCTTTGTATCATTCAGCAAGTATGCCTATATGGTAAAACAGTATATCACTGAATATTTGTTGGATGATGAAATGAATAAATTACACAATCATGTTTAATGGGTTAATGGTCTTATGCATGCAAATATTTGTTGACCAATAAAATAATAGACTATATAATCATTTCAACAGGTGAACACTATTCTAGTAAAGGGATGTACCATGGGTAATTTAATCAATGCCTACTATTAGAAATTTGGGTCATTTTTAATTTTTTACTATTATAACTGATGCTGTTCATTTTTCCCAGTTTTCTCCCATAGAATAAATTCCTGGAAGTGTATTTGCAATATATGTTGTCAAACTGTCCTTCAGAAACAAAGTACCATTTTATACTTTCTCCAATAACATGTGAATTTGTTGTCCTCCTCAACTAACACTGGGTATTTTCTTTGCCAGTCTGTATGTCTTTAGTTACCAGCGAGATTGAACAGTTTTTAATACTGTTAATCATTTGTATTTCTTCTGTGAACTGCCTGCTACTACCCTTTGCCCACTTTTCTGTTAGGAGTGTTTATCTTTTTTACTATTTATTTTTACAGCTTACATCATACATTTTATGTTCTCCTAATTCATCTTTAACCTTGTTTATTTTTGCCATTTAAAAGTTTAAAATATTTATTTAGTTAAATCACTGTAATCCTTTCTTAATGAATCTGCTATTGTTCATTTTAAGTACTTAATATTAAAATAGGTATCAAACTAGATGAAATTTTAATGAGATTCTCTTTCATTATAACTTTTTTCATATCATCCAGTTCCATTTGATTCCTTTATAACAATAAATAAGAGTTGAAGGATATATTTGATATTAGTATTTTTGTTATAAAGGACAGTTACCGCTATATTATTTATGACATGCATTGTGCTTCACGTATATTATTTAATTTAATCCTGTGATGTAAATTCTATTACTATCTCCATTTTACTAAAAAAAAAAAAAAAAAAATGAGGTTTTAGGAAGTAAGGTGTTTGCCTAAGATACTAGAAGTGATTGATGGTAAGATCAGGATTCAAAACTAGGCCGACTCCAGAGACCGCACTCCTGTCCACTATGCTTTGCTGACCAAATAACACCTTACAATTCTATAGTGGAATAGCTTACATGGTCTTTTACATGTATTTTAATTAATCTCTATCAACTCATGTGAGATTAATATTATTTCCATCAGTTGATAGAGGAAATTGTGGTTAAGAGTCATGCCTATGGCCCAGCCCACGTGGCTCAGTGGATTGAGCATAGTCCCATGGACCGAGAAGTTCCAGTTTGATTCCCGGTCAGGGCACATGCCCGTGTTGCAGGCTCGATCCCCAGTAGCGGGTGTGCAGGAGGCAGTCGATCAATGTTTCTCTCTTACATCGATGTTTCTATCTCTCTCTCTTTTCCTCTCTTTCTAAAAAATCAACTGAAAGAAAAATTTTTAAAAGATTGGTTACCTTGGGAAATACAATGCTTTTCACAGTAACTGATTTTTTTTCAGAGTATACATTTTATGTTATAAAAAAATCATGGGATTCTTATATTCATTTTTCCAACATTTCCTCATATGTCTTCAATGACAATAAAATACCGGAATAAACATCTTCTGTTCTATTGGTCTTCCTTAACTTACATTTTCCATGTTAAATGCATGTGTGAAACTGGCAATGACTAATAAGATATCAATATGTTTACTGAATATAATAAAAACATTTAGAAGTAAAATTCTTTTGTTTTCTTTAGGATTATTCACCCTACAAAAAGTCTACTTTGACATTGTCAATATTTGTACCTTGCCCTGTTAGTAGTTACCAGTTGACAGACACAGACAGATGAGAAGATCACTATGCATTTACATAAACAAAGTACAATATAGATGATAAAAGCATACATCCTGGAGTTTCTGGAGAAGTAGTCATTTAAGATTTTCTCTACTCTCATAACATCACCTGTTCCAGTATTTGCTTCAGAAAAAATATTTCCCACATATCTAAGCAAGTTGTTATTACACCTAGCTGTGAAGTTCTTCCTTAAAGTGGGAGGTACACTAAGAGATCTTCTTTATACCTCTTCACTTCTTTATTCATTTATTTAATCAATATGTATTTAGAACCATTTGCTTAAATCATACTTTGAAAGATCAACTCAAATCTTCCTTTTATTAGAGGTCCTTCACCTTTCCCCTTTAAATCATTAATTGCTCCATTTTCTGTGATCTCAGGTTTTTGTTTGATTGTTAATATCATTTTCAGTTAAGTGTAAATCATATTCATATCCTTCGCAAATGTAGTAGGGATCAATATGTAGTGGACAATCAATAAAACTCTATGTAGTAGATGATCAATAAAAGTCTAGTTAAAAAAATGATTAGGTTGAAAGCATTATTGAGAGACTATTTAGGCCACATTAATAGAAAATACACCAAGCTAATGTGAGATGTATTCGATTGATAAAGTTATTCATATGCTATCGGTGGATTCATGCAAGAGCTCCAAGCATACATAAGGTAGACACATTCTTTTTTCCCCCTTAAGTCAGCAATTTTCAACAGTGTGCATAGCAGGCATACCGCTGTGCCGCAAGAATTTTTAAAACATGCAATACCTGACTATTTAGTCAGAAGCACTGACCTCTTTTCCCTTAGATAAAAAAAAATATGTCAACAGGTAATACAACAATAGCGATCAGTGTGAATGAATCAGAATTATACATATTTTTTTTGTCAGATCAGCAAAAAATGTATTTTTGGTGTGGTGCAGAATTTTAGTAATTAGTTTATGTGTATCATGAGATAAAAAAAAAAAAGGTTAAAAATCACCACCTTAAATCAATCCAAGAATCTTTCCTTCCTGAGCCTATCAATTTAGGATCACAGTCACATAGCCCAGGTGGATATGGACTTGCCTCAAGGCACTGGAGAAAGTAAATGTGAGGATTTTAATTTAGTGAAGTCTGTTCCTTGTCAGATTACATAGATTGGGCCAGATGCATCGTTTGAGGCAAAAATCAGATTTGGTATTATTTGATCTATCATTTATCATCTAACTCATTGGAAGGGAAATAATTATGAAAAATTTAAAAATAAATAATCCCTAAATAATATTTAACATTAATAGCATTTCATTTATGGATGAATATGAATTTGCCCATGGTTACAGAACTCATAACATAATAACAAAAATATATAAAGACATATTGTGAAGAACTGGTTCAGATGCAACATAGACACCTCCTCCTATTTTTTTGGCTCTTATCTTTTCCTTTATCCCCAATCTATATTGGAAATACCTTCAATCTGTGATGATAAAAAACATCACTAAATATATGCTTCTGAGAGTGTTTCTCCACCATTCAAATATTAATGTTATTGAATATTTAATACATGTAAAATATTTATAACACATACATAAGATATGAATAATAACAATATAACCAAAGCTTAGAAATATAATAGTATTAGTACCTTTGTCCCACTGTGTGTCACTCTCAACCCCATTATCTATCTCTATCTCACCCAGAAAGGTAACTGCTTTACTGAATTTTGTAACAACTCCTTTTTCTTGTTTATAGGTTACCATATTTGTATTGCTTGGTTTTGTATGCTTTTGAACTTTATATAAATAGAATTGACTGGTTTTATTCTTTTGTGATTTTCTCACTCAACATTATACTTGTGATATTCATCCATGTTTATTATTGTGGTTATAGTTTATTTGATTTCCATCACAGTACAGTATCCTACTATATTAATTTATTTATTCAATCTCCGATTAATAGACATTTGAATAGCTTCTTGTTTTTTGCTATTGAAAACATGGTTGCTACAAACAATGTGTGTGTCTCCTGATATATGTGTCCATAATGGCTCTAGAGTATATGTATACAAAAGTAGATTTGCTAAGTTGAAGTCTATTATCATCTTTTAATTTATTAGATAAGTTGAATAGTTTTCCAAAGTGACTATCAATTTACACTCTCATCCACAGAATATAAGAGTTCTGACTGTTCCACATCCCTATTATTAGTGGTTGAGTAAAATATAAGACATTTCAAAATGAGCAGAAAATGGTAGGTGATAGCCATATAAAACTATTATAAGAATTAAAAAAAAAATAAGGACTAAAACATTTTATTTATTGATAGTACTCTCCAAGAAACCCAGTCATGAATCAGAGGAAAACTATAACATAGGAGCCCAAAATGAATTAAATATTCCTACATGAACATTTGCATATATGAAAGAATACTCCAAACCATAAATCCAGAAACTCAGGGAAAATATATAAAAAGGAAACTGTAACATGACAGTTAACTAAACTTAAAAAATGATTGAAGAAATAAAACAAAAATCTTTCAGAAATGGAGCTAGAAGATATCCAAAAGAGAAAAAAGATTTGACCAGATAGATAGATAGATTGACAGACAGACAGATACATTATATATACAGGGCTAGACAAAAGTAGGTTTACAGTTGTGAGAATGTGAAAGTTTATTCTTGTATTATTGTTCA